TCATGCAAAATTTAAAACGAATTATTATCTAATTTCCACTTAAGACTCACACGAAGTAATTTATGCTGAGTGTATACACGTTTAGTGTTAGCGTTGACAATCTAATTATTTATATACACAGTGATGGTTATTAAACACGTTTACAACAACTTCATGAATCAATTTTTGAAATGATTTTTTTTTAAATTTTATTTTGTATTCTTCAACCTCGTAATTATCACGCAATAATCGCCTCCGACCGTTCGGAAGGCCCTTGAAATTATTGGCGCCAGTATCTTTTTAAAAAGAGGGGGGGCGTAGCTTCTCCTTTAAAAGAGGATCGGCCCGAAAAAAGAAAATATTAAAGGAAACGAAATCCGGGGCTAGAATGAGAGAGAAGAATAGGTTTCTGTATACAATACCCTAGGTTTTCAAAGGGGGTCGACGTTTTTGAACCAACCCATTTACAATTTACATTGCGAGGACGTGGGCCGTCGACGGAGTCGAGACCCCGGCTTATTGTGAAAATAAATGGAGCGGTTTGCATAATATCGGTACGGTAACGTTTCGGTAATGAGTTCTTATTGATTTTCAAATGCAGATAAATCACATTTAATGTTTTTGTGAATAAAAATGAGTCGAAAAATTGTATTGTAATGAATCAAAATAGGGAGATTTTTGAGATATCATTTTTTTTCAAAAATTGATTATGAAGAAAGTATCAACAAAGTTTTCATGGATAGCTCGACCAAAAAGTCTAAAACCAATTTCTCCTGTCTTTGATATAAAATAAGCATACATGATATACTATAAATGTGATATGAGTGATGATATACAAGATACCCATGTTATCTGTGCTGCTGAGATAACAGAGTTAATAATGACCATTAGAAGAATGAAGGCTAAAAAGAAACATGGTATAGCTGGGTAGGAAAAGCTGATGGACTTTTGAGACACTATAATATTAAAAATGATATAATACCAACATGTGGCAAATAATACAAGACGCTAAGAGATACTAAAGCTAAGATATGGAAGTCTCTCAAAACACAAAATTTATAATTTCAGTCTAAAAAGGATTTTATGGATGCAGTATCAAAACTTTTTCATTGGCCAAAATGCGTTCTAACTCCCCAGCCATGATGAATTACTTGCTCATGGAGCATCGATATGATGGGGTCTTAATAGGTCTTGCTTTATCCATCAGCTGAAGACGCTGTTGGTTATGCCAGAGATATCAATGGGAGAGGAAAGCAACATCTGGAAGACTCACTTAATCCTGTAATAAGTGTAAAAGCTTTGAGGTTGGTTTTCGGCAACAACTAGTTGCTACTTATGGAAGACAAGACAGAAGATACCAGATAGACACCAGGTACTGCTTGCAGAAGACCAAATACTGGTTATGCAAGATTAAATATTGCTACCAGAAGACTAAATGTTTGTACTAGAAGACTAAATGTTACTATTAGAAGACTAGATACTACTTGAAGAAGACTAAATATCGCTTGCAGAAACCCAGAACGTTCTTGTTGACTAAATATTGCCGCGGATGACCAAATATTGGTTATGGCAGACTAGATACTACATACACAACTATATGCTGCTTGTGGAAGACAAGATAGTGCTAATAGAACACATGATACTGCTTACAGAAGACTAAATATTGATTCTTCTGTTTGTTGACTAAATGCTGGTTACGGAAGAGTTGACGCTGGTAATAAAGGTTCAGATACTACATGTAAAAGACTTAATAATCCTTGGAAAAACCAAATACTAGATGAGAAAGACTAGATATCGCGTGAAAAAAGTTAGATAATGTTAGTAGAACGTTAGAGGAGACTACGTATTGTTGATAGAGAATTTACATATTACTAATAGATGATCCTGCACAAGACTAGATACTTTTTGGTAAAAAATTACGTACTGGTTGCAGAAGAGTTGGTACTAATATCTGATATTGCTTGTAAAAGATTTGATACTTCAAGCAAAAAACTAAATACTAGTTGAGAAAGACCAGATACTGCTTAAGAAAGATTAGATACTACTAGTAGAAATAATAGTACTGATATTGCTTGCAAAAGACTACATATTACTGACGAAGAATTAAATACTGTTAATAGAAGATTGTTTACAGAAAATTAAATGCTTTTTGCAGAAAATCAGATACTGATTGGAGAAGAATAGATACTTGTCATAGAACACTAAATATTAGTAATGGAACATCAGATATAGACAATAGTACTGCTTAGAGAAGAGTAAACTCTGCTGGTCGAAGACTACATACTAGAAATAGACAACTACTGCCAATTTTATACTTAGCAATATTGCTCTCTTATACTTTTGCACTCAGAGGCATAGATATTGAGAAAAATACGAAATTATGAAAATTTTATGAATTTCGTCGTTTTGAAAGTATTTCATGGTAACACTTGGATGTCGGAGCATGCTATAAAAAAACTTTTAGAACAAAAGTTGTAGCAAATTTCATTCTTAATAATATTGCTCTCTTATACTTTTGCTCTCAGAGGCATAGATATTGAGAAAAATACGAAATTATGAAAATTTTATGAATTTCGTCGTTTTGAAAGTACTGCATGGTAACACTTGGATATCGGAGCATGCTATAAAAAAACTTTTAGAACAAAAGTTGTAGCAAATTTCATTCTTAATAATATTGCTCTCTTATACTTTTGCTCTCAGAGGCATAGATATTGAGAAAAATACTAAATTATGAAAATGTTTTGAATTTCGTTGTTTTGAAAGTACTTCATGGTCACACTTGGATATCAGAGCATGCTATAAAAAAACTTTTAGAACAAAAGTTGTAGTAAATTATATTCTTAACAATATTGCTTTTTTATAGTTTTGCTTTCAGATGCATAGATATTGAGAAAATATGAAAATTTTACGAATTTCGTTGTTTTGAAAGTACTGCATGGTAACGCTTGGATATCAGAGCATGCTATAAAAAAACTTTTAGAACAAAAGTTGTAGCAAATTTCATTCTTAACAGTATTGCTCTCTTATACTTTTGCATTCAAAGGCATAGATATTGAGAAAAACACGAAAATATGAAAATTTTATGAATTTCGTCGTTTTGAAAGTACTGTATGGTAACGCTTGGATATTGGAGCATGCTACAAAAAAAACTTTTAGAACAAAAGTTGTAGCAAATTTCATTCTTAATAATATTGCTCTCTTATGCTTTTGCATTCAGAGGCATAGATATTGAGAAAAATATGAAAATATGAAAATTTTATGAATTTCGTCGTTTTGAAAGTACTTCATGGTAACGCTTGGATATCAGAGCATGCTACAAAAAAACTTTTAGAACAAAAGTTGTAGCAAATTTCATTCTTAATAATATTGTTCTCTTATACTTTTGCTCTCAGAGGCATAGATATTGAGAAAAACACGAAAATATAAAAATTTTACGAATTTCGTTGTTTGTTCAAGTTTATGTTATTTTTGTTATTTTCTACTTCTAACTGCCAATGCCGTCCACTTTTCTAATCAAGGGTGTAATGCAACATATTAAATTCATGGATATTAAAGATTTTGCCAAAAATTTGGATAACATCAAAAAAAAATCAGAAAAATACTAAAAAGAAAGACATTAAGCCTCCAAATATTATAATGATATCTTTTGACTTCAATGATTTAATTAGCTCAATTTCTTCAGCTGGCTTATCTGCAATAGTGACATATATTTGTATTATATTTAGGTTGGGTCAGTTTGAGACAGGGACAAAATTGATGATGGATCTTTTGAGATAGTGAAAATTCTAAAGGTCTAGGTTGTAGCCCCTCGGCCGGTAGGCACCTTGGCTTCATTAACACGACCGATAAAATTAATAAACAAAGATCTTATCATACGTATAATTAATGTCCAATCAGATCGATTTTTATCATTTAACATTGCCCGCTTGAGGCTATATCGATAAAACCGAGATCGTCAAAGATAAAACGATTCAGCCGCAAGCGATTTCGACTTCATTCACGAAGTAGTAATTCGCGACCTTGTCATACTAATAACTATTGTGTATGAAGGCTGCGAAGATGTATTTTTGTTGGTTATCAAAGATTGTATTCGAGATTACTTGCGGTTTAGCCACTATAATCGAGATGATTAGAAATTGGAGAAATGAAGATGTCATAAAGTTGGTAGGACTTGTTATGATCTTTGGCGCCAAATAATGAATTAGATAAAATTAGATACTTTTATTATTGGATTTTAAGTGTTTCAAAGATACCAGGAAATGGAAAAAGATGATTGGTGTGTGTCAAAATGGTACTAATCGATTGCAAATATCTTCAGGTTATTTGGTAAAACCAAGAGGAGTTAATAACGTTGAAGGAAATTCATTTTGTAATAAATAATCATGATTATAATTTACTATAAACGCGGTATAAGTAATTACTTTTTAATGTTGAGATGGCAATAAAATATCATAATAAAATTTTTTAATTCAATATTGTTGCTTATTACTGTCTATTGTAATAACAATGATAAAGGTTTTATCTCGAAAAAGTACTTGCAATTATGATAGAGATATCGATAACGAGAGATATAATGGAAAAATATAAACAATATATTACAAATTTTTAAATCTAACTGTATTTTTTTTTATTTGTAATTACTAAATCATTTCGTGGAAAATTGCGGTGTATTTTTCCTTTCAAATGACGTCGCTTTTCGTCATTATGTTTTATTGGGAAATTTATTAGCATCTATTTTAAAACTTTTATATAATAAACATAGAGAAATGTTATGTTACGTTTTTATTTTTTAAAAGTCGTTTTCATGATTTAAATGACAATCGAAAATATCATAACCATAAAGTAGGTTCAATCCAAAATTAAACTCATTTGTTATTTTAATAACCAGGTAGAATATACAGGTCGTAAATATACACACAACACATCCACCTACAAATTTAGAGGAGATTTCGTCTCCACTTCACTTGACGACCAGCCAAACGAGTCAAAAAAAAAAGTATCAAAAAAAAGAAAAATCATACCATTCTGACGTAGCCTTTTCATGTTCCTTTTCCTTTTCAGACTCATCTCGACTCAAATAAACATCAAAATCACATGTATCGATCACTAAAACTATTTTATCAGTTCACTTTTAAATTATATCACAGGATTTTGCTATAGAGTTCTTTTTTTTTTTGCTACGATTCGTATAATTTCCGAAAGTAAATCGTTAGGTGTACGCGAAACGTGAAAAGAAATGATCTCGACCGGCAAAAGCAAATCATTTCGCGTCTACCGACCCACGTATTTATTAGTTGTATAGGAGAAAATCGCGTGAGAGTCTCCAGGCTTCGACACGCACCACACCACGTTTGCGCATCGACTGAGCGTAGGTTCGAAACGCGCCCAAGTTATTATGGCGTAAGGCGACTGTGAAAAAACACGCTGTCTTGCGGCGGGCGGTCGATGCGAGGCGACCGAGGCGCGCGGCCGAGGACCTAGACTATGGTGTGAAGGGACGAGAGGGACGCCCAGGAGGGGCTATTGTTGAGCTTTCGTTTTGAGAGGTGAGTGCACATCGCGGTTATGATGTGGTTCAAACTATAATTGTGGATTGATATCATGAAATTATTATATACCTTAGGCATATTTAAAAAGAAGAGCTATGTATCAAGCGTACGTTTTAATCTGGCGTGGAGGGAGTTTGTCTAAATAACTAAGCACCAAGTTATATGACGCAAGATTACTATTACTGCCACGGTGCACATTGGTAATAAAAAACTAAATATTGCTTGCAGAAAACGAAATATTCGTTGTGGAAGACTAAATTTTAATATTGCATGTACACAACTAGATGCTGCTTATAGAAGACAAGATGGTACTAATAGAACACCAGATACTGCTTGCAGAAGACCAAATATTGATTGCGGAAAACTAGATACTGCTACCAGAAGACTAAATATTGACTAAAATAGAAAGACTAGATATCGCATGAAAAAGGCTAGATAACGTTAGTAGAACCTTAGATAGCAGTAATCCAGAAAACTGGATATTTCTTGCAGAAAACCAGATACTGATTGGAGAAGAATAGATACTTGTCATAGAACACTATATACTGGTCGTAAAACACTAGATATTAGTAATGGAACACCAGATATAGACAATAATTCTGCTTAAAGAAGAGTAAACTCTGCTGATCGAAGACTACATACTAGAAATAGACAACTACTGCCAATATAAGACTTTAGATTAAAATTTTATATTTAGCACTATTGTTCTAATGTACTTTTGCTCTCAGAGGCATAGATATTGAGAAAAATACGAAATTACGAAAATTTTATGAATTTCGTCGTTTTGAAAGTACTGCATGGTAACACTTGGATATCGGAGCATGCTATAAAAAAACTTTTAGAACAAAAGTTGTAGCAAATTTCATTCTTAATAATATTGCTCTCTTATACTTTTGCATTCAGAGGCATAGATATTGAGAAAAATACGAAATTATGAAAATTTTATGAATTTCGTCGTTTTGAAAGTACTGCATGGTAACTTGGATATCGGAGCATGCTATAAAAAAATATTTAGAACAAAAGTTGTAGCAAATTTTATTCTTAATAATATTGCTCTCTTATACTTTTGCTCTCAGATGCATAGATATTGAGAAATATACTAAATTATGAAAATGTTTTGAATTTCGTTGTTTTGAAAGTACTTCATGGTAACACTTGGATATCGGAGCATGCCATAAAAAAACTTTTAGAACAAAAGTTGTAGCAAATTTCATTCTTAATAATATTGCTCTCTTATACTTTTGCTCTCAGAGGCATAGATATTGAGAAAAATACTAAATTATGAAAATGTTTTGAATTTCGTTGTTTTGAAAGTACTTCATGGTAACACTTGGATATCGGAGCATGCTATAGAAAAAGTTTTAGAACAAAAGTTGTAGCAAATTTCATTCTTAATAATATTGCTCTGTTATACTTTTGCTCTCAGAGGCATAGATATTGAGAAAAATACGAAATTATGAAAATTTTATGAATTTCGTCGTTTTGAAAGTACTGCATGGTAATACTTGGATATCGGGGCATGTTATAAAAAAACTTTTAGAACAAAAGTTGTAGCAAATTTAATGCTTAATAAGATTGCTCTCTTATACTTTTGCTCTCAGAGGCATAGATATTGAGAAAAATACGAAATTATGAAAATTTTATGAATTTCGTCGTTTTGAAAGTACTGCATGGTAACACTTGAATATTGGAGCATGCTATAAAAAAACTTTTAGAACAAAAGTTGTAGCAAATTTCATTCTTAACAATATTGCTCTCTTATAGTTTTGCACTCAGAGGCATAGATATTGAGAAAAATACGAAAATATGAAAATTTTATGAATTTTGTCGTTTTGAAAGTACTGCATGGTAACACTTGAATATTGGAGCATGCTATAAAAAAACTTTTAGAACAAAAGTTGTAGCAAATTTCATTCTTAACAATATTGCTCTCTTATAGTTTTGCACTCAGAGGCATAGATATTGAGAAAAATACGAAAATATGAAAATTTTATGAATTTTGTCGTTTTGAAAGTACTGCATGGTAACACTTGAATATTGGAGCATGCTATAAAAAAACTTTTAGAACAAAAGTTGTAGCAAATTTCATTCTTAACAATATTGCTCTCTTATAGTTTTGCACTCAGAGGCATAGATATTGAGAAAAATACGAAAATATGAAAATTTTATGAATTTTGTCGTTTTGAAAGTACTGCATGGTAACACTTGAATATTGGAGCATGCTATAAAAAAACTTTTAGAACAAAAGTTGTAGCAAATTTCATTCTTAACAATATTGCTCTCTTATAGTTTTGCACTCAGAGGCATAGATATTGAGAAAAATACGAAAATATGAAAATTTTATGAATTTTGTCGTTTTGAAAGTACTGCATGGTAACACTTGAATATTGGAGCATGCTATAAAAAAACTTTTAGAACAAAAGTTGTAGCAAATTTCATTCTTAACAATATTGCTCTCTTATAGTTTTGCACTCAGAGGCATAGATATTGAGAAAAATACGAAAATATGAAAATTTTATGAATTTTGTCGTTTTGAAAGTACTGCATGGTAACACTTGAATATTGGAGCATGCTATAAAAAAACTTTTAGAACAAAAGTTGTAGCAAATTTCATTCTTAACAATATTGCTCTCTTATAGTTTTGCACTCAGAGGCATAGATATTGAGAAAAATACGAAAATATGAAAATTTTATGAATTTTGTCGTTTTGAAAGTACTGCATGGTAACACTTGAATATTGGAGCATGCTATAAAAAAACTTTTAGAACAAAAGTTGTAGCAAATTTCATTCTTAACAATATTGCTCTCTTATAGTTTTGCACTCAGAGGCATAGATATTGAGAAAAATACGAAAATATGAAAATTTTATGAATTTTGTCGTTTTGAAAGTACTGCATGGTAACACTTGAATATTGGAGCATGCTATAAAAAAACTTTTAGAACAAAAGTTGTAGCAAATTTCATTCTTAACAATATTGCTCTCTTATAGTTTTGCACTCAGAGGCATAGATATTGAGAAAAATACGAAAATATGAAAATTTTATGAATTTTGTCGTTTTGAAAGTACTGCATGGTAACACTTGAATATTGGAGCATGCTATAAAAAAACTTTTAGAACAAAAGTTGTAGCAAATTTCATTCTTAACAATATTGCTCTCTTATAGTTTTGCACTCAGAGGCATAGATATTGAGAAAAATACGAAAATATGAAAATTTTATGAATTTTGTCGTTTTGAAAGTACTGCATGGTAACACTTGAATATTGGAGCATGCTATAAAAAAACTTTTAGAACAAAAGTTGTAGCAAATTTCATTCTTAACAATATTGCTCTCTTATAGTTTTGCACTCAGAGGCATAGATATTGAGAAAAATACGAAAATATGAAAATTTTATGAATTTTGTCGTTTTGAAAGTACTGCATGGTAACACTTGAATATTGGAGCATGCTATAAAAAAACTTTTAGAACAAAAGTTGTAGCAAATTTCATTCTTAACAATATTGCTCTCTTATAGTTTTGCACTCAGAGGCATAGATATTGAGAAAAATACGAAAATATGAAAATTTTATGAATTTTGTCGTTTTGAAAGTACTGCATGGTAACACTTGAATATTGGAGCATGCTATAAAAAAACTTTTAGAACAAAAGTTGTAGCAAATTTCATTCTTAACAATATTGCTCTCTTATAGTTTTGCACTCAGAGGCATAGATATTGAGAAAAATACGAAAATATGAAAATTTTATGAATTTCGTCGTTTTGAAAGTACTGCATGGTAACACTTGAATATTGGAGCATGCTATAAAAAAACTTTTAGAACAAAAGTTGTAGCAAATTTCATTCTTAACAATATTGCTCTCTTATAGTTTTGCTCTCAGAGGCATAGATATTGAGAAAAATACGAAAATATGAAAATTTTATGAATTTCGTCGTTTTGAAAGTACTGCATGGTAACACTTGGATATCGGAGCATGCTATAAAAAAACTTTTAGAACAAAAGTTGTAGCAAATTTCATTCTTAACAATATTGCTCTCTTATAGTTTTGCTCTCAGAGGCATAGATATTGAGAAAAATACGAAAATATGAAAATTTTATGAATTTCGTCGTTTTGAAAGTACTGCATGGTAACACTTGGATATCGGAGCATGCTATAAAAAAACTTTTAGAACAAAAGTTGTAGCAAATTTCATTCTTAATAATATTGCTCTCTTATACTTTTGCTCTCAGAGGCATAGATATTGAGAAAAATACGAAAATATGAAAATTTTATGAATTTCGTCGTTTTGAAAGTACTGCATGGTAACACTTGGATATCGGAGCATGCTATAAAAAAACTTTTAGAACAAAAGTTGTAGCAAATTTCATTCTTAATAATATTGCTCTCTTATACTTTTGCTCTCAGAGGCATAGATATTGAGAAAAATACGAAAATATGAAAATTTTATGAATTTCGTCGTTTTGAAAGTACTGCATGGTAACACTTGGATATCGGAGCATGCTATAAAAAAACTTTTAGAACAAAAGTTGTAGCAAATTTCATTCTTAATAATATTGCTCTCTTATACTTTTGCTCTCAGAGGCATAGATATTGAGAAAAATACGAAATTATGAAAATGTTATGAATTTCGTCGTTTTGAAAGTACTGCATGGTAACACTTGGATATCGGGGCATGTTATAAAAAAACTTTTTCAACAAAAGTTGTAGCAAATTTCATTCTTAATAATATTGCTCTCTTATACTTTTGCTCTCAGAGGCATAGATATTGAGAAAAATACGAAAATATGTAACTTTTATGAATGGTTGAAAAAATCTAGATA